AGCCAACAAAGCCAAACTCCACCGAAGACCCGAAGCCCACTAAGACCACAAACAAATTATCGAGGCTTCAATCGCAGCCCAAAACATAATACTCATCGATATCCGAGGCAACTTCTTCGTGGATAGCATCGCACTGCTCGTCCATGCTGGCGGCTTCGGCCTCTGGGTCGATGCTGTGGAACCTCGGGACATTCAATTTCATGCAAAGATATGGGATGGGGATGTTGTGTTCATGGCTGTGGACATGAGCAAGTTTAGATAGGTGGCTTCTTCGCAAGCTGTTCGAGCTTCTTCTTGTGGGTTTTCAGGTCTTTAAGCAGCCTCTGGGAATCATCATCCGAGGCATCCCCCATATCGAAGATCAGATCAGCGATGCTGTTCACATTCTTCTTGATCTCTCTGCCTTGCATCATACAAACGGGACACGACGACGATGACGATGGCAACGACGATGCAAGTGAATCCGAAATTGCAAACTAGCAACACCACTTGCCGTGCTTCTCCTTCGGACTTTTGAACAGCTCATTGACCAACGAGGTACCTTTCACAGTGGTCGCCGTAGAACCTGCAACCGATCCCGGTCGTCGTGTCGAGGCTTTGCATGATGCACCCCTTTTGCCAGAGCCGCGAACACCTGAGTAGGTTCATTATATAGGGGTGTAGGGCCAGGGAACCAAATCTCTCTCTCTCTCTCTCTCTCTCTCTCTCTCTCTCTCTCTCTCTCCCTCTCTCTCTCATCATTAAGAATCCTGGGTTTACATTGCAATTGTATATTCGCTTCCGGCCTGCATGCTGCGTGGCAATGGCACTCAGCTCGTCCTTGCGCTGATCGAAAGCCCTCAGGACGTCGGCTTTCAGTGGCGCTTGCTGGCTCGCGGCAGGCTTCTTGTGGAGGAGGCCCGGGTCCGCTCCAGGAATGCCACCGTCAAAGAATTCTGATCCCGGGCGACAGTTCGCTCGCAGGTTCTGCTTCACCCTGAAGGGGATAAGTCATTATGCAAAATTAGCCGCATAACATAGTGTTCAGCATGTAATGCGAGCCCTGCTCCTGAACTCACTGCTTTCCACTTGGGTGCGGCCCACGATGCACCAATACAGGGTATCTTCGAGAGAATCCGGTGCTTGTTCATCACGTTCGCCCACTTGCGTTGCAATTATGTGTTGCACTTTCTGCCTCAGCTTCAGATTGCAACTGAAGAGACATGCATGCAGCGGCACAGCATGGTGAACTGCAACATTCTGAAGATTCTTTAATATAAGTGCCGAATTACTCGCTGAAGAAGTAGGGCTTCTTGTGCATGTTCTTCACGGCTATTTGCATCCAAATCTTCTCGGATCGCACACCTGCTTCCTTGGCAATCTCGATGGTACTTTCGCAGGCCTGCAAGTTCTGCCCCGAGAGCACCCAATCACGTAGCAGCGCCCGCTTCTCCTCAGCATAGCCCCCGATCATCAGAGCAAGTGATTGATTGGCATAAACACAGACATACACACACAGGCAAGCACACACGCACACACAGACACACACACACACACACACACACAACTCACCCTGTCACTCTCTCTCTGCACTCTCCCTACATATCTCTCTCAGCACTCTCTCCCCTCAAACCTTTGCTGACCTTGAACTCTAGCCGAAAAAAGGACATTCTCTAAACCTTGAATACCAAGTTAAGTGTAGCTTTAGATTGGGTGTGCGATCCCAGCCATAGGCCGTAGGCTAAACTCTAATTAGACAAAGTATATGTTGCGTAGCCGAGCGGCATCCAGGGTGCCTTCTTGCAACTTGAGCATATTCGGGTAGCCGGCCAATGCTCCAGATTCGTGCAATCGGTTCTTAGCACAAAAAAGCAATCACCATGGATGTGCAGCGAAGACTACATTAGTGGAGGGTTTTTTCAGCAAAGTGGCGAGCTTGGCATATTCTTTTCGGTGTGTTGTAGAGCAGATCTTGCACTTCTCATCACCCTTTGGATCCTGGTCCGGGGCCACCGTTGGCTTCGGAACCGGCTCCGCTTGCGTCTTCACCTTTGCAAGTAGATCCGTGAGGCCTCCGGCCGGGCTTGTCGTCGGCGAATCATGAAACACATGGGTCTTGGGCCTGACAGGTGTAGCCACCGGCCTTTGGGGTTCCTGCGAAGCTTCGGGCTCCTTCACGTTGCTAGGTTTTTCATCGCTGCTAGCTGCGGGCTCCTTCACGTTGCTAGCTTTCGAATCGCTGCTCAGTTGCGACTCCAGCTCGGCCTTCTCCAGTTCTAACTGCTGCACACGCTGCAACAGCATGTGCATGTCAACTGCAGATGCAACTTGGCTTGCCGAAGGCCCGAGCTCGCTCAGATTCGTCTGAGAGTCCTGGCGGTCCTTCGCGGTGATGCGCTGCACTTCTCGCAACCTGGCTTGACCATCCACAAAGGTACTTCCTGACCTGAGATCCGAGTGTTCATGATACACAGGTCAGAACAGCTGCAGTTAACTACACAACACAGCACGAACACTCAGCAGATATTGCAATCAAAGCACACCTGGCTGCCATCTTGACAACCAGCACTTAGCTCTGGAGCGGGCAGTGCCAACACACCCTGAAGCGGCACAGCAGCTGCAGGCTCCGACTTAATCGGAGGGGCTGCTCTGTGGGCCTTTAAGGCAGCCTCCAGCTCACTCACCTGAGGGAGCCCCTGCCTCCATAGATCGTACTCGTAGCACAGCTCATCCCAATCCTTGAAGAGTGCAGAATCCTCATCTTCGTCCAGTTCGGGGTCAGCTTCCTTCAGTTCGGGGTCAGCTTTCTGAAGTTCGGGCTCGGCGCGGTCCACGGGCTCCACGCGAGTCTTAGCTTTCAGTCGCTTGGTTGGCGGCTGATCCATCTCAGGTTCATGCTCCTCCACGAAAGCTGCCAGCCGCTTCATTAGCCTTGGCTTTGGAAGCCTTGGCCCTTGGAGCGACACTGTTCTTGGACTCGGCTGGGGCTGGCTCTTCGGCTTGGGGTTTTCGACTCTTCGTACCAGCTTGCAGGGCTGAAGCATTCGTCTCGGATTTGTCATCGGCTGGGGGCTTGTTCTTGGATTTCTTGTTGGCTCCGGCTGGGGCATCTGGCTCGGTATCCTTTCGGGATTCCTTCTCGGCTTTCTCGGTCTTCTTAGGCTTCTTCGAGGGCTGTTTCAAGGACTGCTGGTGGGCCAAGTAAACAGCATCCGGCTCGGTTTCCTGTTGGGATTCCTCCTCGGCTTTGTGGGTCTTCTTGGGCTTCTTCGAAGGCTGCTTCAAGGACTGCTGGAAAGACAAATAAACAGTAACGGCATCAGCGTAGCTCAGCTTCTCCTTCTTCATTAGATCTTGCAAAGTCATATCCGCCACTCCCAAGGGAGTTGTAAGCGGGATGCTGGGCGGCTTCCACTTGGAGGAGCTCGAAGCATTCTTTGAATCCCGCACTGCTTGCTTGAACTTCAGGCCACGATCAAGGGCCTCTTTGGTAGACTTCATGGTATGGAAGTCACGAAAGCCCTCAATAAAAGCTGATATGGCTTCACCGGCAATGTTCGGTTCTATGGATTTCAGAAAAGCACAGATTCCACGCACTTTACCGGTCAAGTGGTGTGGATATACCGGTCATCGGCACATTTTCCACGCGAAACTTTTGGTTCGGATCGACAGGACCTAGCCTGTCTCAAGCTCTTTTCAATTCCCCCTAGCAACCCAAACAGATGCACAGCGGATAATGTAACTGTAGCGATCATTTCGTGGGGCCTTTGAATGCAGGGTTGTGTGTATTTCACACAAGCAGCCGAACTACAAGCCGGCGATCTAATTAAGGACTCCTGCTGCGAATGGGCCGACACCAGCCGCGACATCCTCGCTGCGGGCAATCATATACCGGGGCTGGTCTGCAAGACATACTGAACATGCTCGCACATATATGCAATCTAGGCACAGCTTCTGAAGGCTTCGTGCGGTCATGGCAGCAAGCATCCTTGCAAAGAAGCCTCGGATCCGGAGCGTGTCGTGGGTGTGCTGTTTTGTGCTTGTTGTGTTTGTTTGTGCTTTTCTGTGCTTGTTGTGCTTATTTGTGCTTTTCTGTGCTTGGTGTGCTTGTTTGTGCTTTTCTGCGCTTTTCTGTGCTTGTCTATGCTATTTGCTAGGTGTTTGCTGTGCTTGTTTGCGCTTTTCTGTGCTTGTCTATGTTATTTGCCAGGTGTTTGCTGCACTTGCCAGTGATTCTCGGTGTTTGTTCTGTTTGTGGTGTGTGTGTGTGTTGTTGTTCGTGTCATTACTATATGTGTGTGCCTCTGCGCTGTTCTGTGTTTGTGCTTTACGAGGAGGGGAGAGGAGAGGAGAGGAGAGGAGAGAAAGAGGAAAGGAGAGAGGAAAGGAGAGAGGAGAGAGGAGAGGAGAGAGGAAAGGAGAGAGGAGAGGAAACAGGAGAGGAGAGAGGAGAGGAGAGAGGAGAGGAGAGGAGAGAGGAGAGGAGAGGAGAGAGGAGAGGAGAGGAGAGAGGAGAGGAGAGGAGAGAGGAGAGGAGAGGAGAGAGGCTCAAGAGGGGAGAGGAGAGAGGAGAGGAGAGAGGGGGAGGCTAGGGGAGGGGATCAAAACGGGGAGGAAGGCGAGAAGCGTTCTCGTCGTTTGACCCACAATAGCGGCGAGCAACACAGCCCCAGAGCGGAGCCTAGGAAGGGGAGAGTGGGAGGAAAGCTGTTTGGTGAGTTTTGTGGATCAAAGCCTTCTTGTCATTTAAGCGAGGACCCTAAACGGAGAGGGGAGGGAAGAAAGGCACCGCACCCCGAGCAATATAGCTGCGCAGTCCGACTCAATTTGCAGCCCAGGCACTTCAATCGATCTCGGATATCATCCTGAGCTTGGGCTGATTTAAAGGGTGCGGGTTTATAGTTATCAGGATTTGTGGATCAAGTGCTGCATGACTGCTGGATTAATAGCTCAATCTGTGCAAGCGAAAGCCTAGAGCATCCGAAAGTCGGCTTTTTCCTGCACCGAGCGACTGTCTGTTGTTAGCTGGGGTGTGCATTGTCGTCCTCTGATGCACTACTGCTGCTGCAATACACCGCGGATCCGAGCACCAACGTGGAAGCATCTGAGGCTGTGCGCCGACACGAGCGAGATCTGGGACGTGCTTCTCCACTGGACTGAGTCTTATCCTTGTCCTTATCCCCCAGAATCTCCATAACTCGGCGCTTCATTCGGAGCTGCTCACTAACATCCTCCTCCGCTGGCTCGGTCTTTAGTGCAAGCCGGTCGACTTTCTCGTTGTCCTTGATCTCAGGCTTGTCCGAGGAGGCTGCCGCCGCCGCTTCTGGCTTCTTCTGCGGTCTCTGCTTCGACGACGGCTTCATGCAAGCACAGAGAATGGGGTATCTACAGCTCGGGCACAGCTAGGTAGTCTTGATCCGGGGCATGCCGCGCTTCAATTTTGCTCACAGGTACCCAAGCAAGTGCACCATAATAAAGGCCCAGGCTCCCACTGGCCCCTCAGATTCACGTCCTTGGACCGGAGGAGGTAGTAGCAGCACTCCGACAGTCCGGCCTGGGATGACTATATAGGAAACGGCTCAACATGTGCACAGATCGATGCAACTTTAGTGTATAAGCCTAGGGGCCTCCAGGCTCATCGGGCAGCTCCAGGCACCAACAGACAGCCGTTCTACAAACAGCTCGTAATCCGTTTTGCCAGGATCCACAGCGGCCACACATCGAGGACCTGGTAGCTGAACCTTGGCACACAAAACACGTTTTGGGTGGCTATTGGAGAGCTCTCTTTGCGGCTTCGAAGCGGCAGGATTCATTCTGTAGTGTGAAGTCAGGGCTGTTGCGAACTTGTCCGTGTAGTGCCTAAGTTAGCGGGACATAGAGCTGTCAAAGGTGATTCATGCGTGCTCGCACAACAATTTATATGCGGCCCAGAAACTGCGAAGCTTTAAGCATCTTCGGCAAACCAGTGAAGGTCTTCTTCACTGCCCGCCCACTTCTACTCTTCGAGTGCACTGCAAGTTTCACTGCCTTGACCTTCTTTCTCTCTTCCACACTCAGATACCCGGCTCTAGCCACCAAGGATTCAACAAAGTCCTGCCAGTTCGACAGCAGCATGTGCCTCTTCAGCGAAGGGCCACCAAAGCGAATCATGTAGAAGAAGCCCTTGAAGACCTTGTCCGAGACTATGGGTTTGCTTCCATGCTTCCATACAGAACGTGTCTGGGTCTGTGTTTTAAATTAAGTGTAAACAAGGCCTAGTAGCAGGGACTCTTTCCAGCAGCCATTGAAATACTGGGTGATCCACCAGACATGTCTGTGAAGGCTGTTCCAGAATCCACCGGCCGTTGCGAGCACAAACGACTAGGATAATCATGGCCATGCGTGCCAGTAGAACATTCCCCACATGCACGAAACCGTAGCCCTCGTTGCCCCGGGGAGTAATATGATTTCTCCCGGAGGAGCTTCTTGACCTTAGACACAGGTATAGACAATACATGGATAGCCCACGATATATTTACGTAGAAGCACAAAAACCCTTAAATGAGTCCAACCTAGCCACATCACAGAGAAAGATGCGCACGGAAGCCCAATGACAGTCAGGCTCGAATCCGTCTTGAGACGACGGGCCTCGTTCAAGGCCATCCTTTGTAGTGAGAACACAGGCCCGGGTACCCAAACACACGTGCTGATTGCAAGCTTATAGCCCAGTCGCAAGAATCCTGCAGTGGACATCAAGTCGTTGCCCAGGGGATCGTTCTCGAGATCCAGGGATGTTCCAAGTAGACCCAGATCCTCAGGGAGTTGCTTTCAGTGATTGAGCTCGGTATTTTGAAAGGCTTGTTGAATTCTGGACGACCTATCCCAAAACAACAATCCGAGGTTCTCGGCGGAAGCTCGTGCCGACAGAGTCACAACCGGAGAAAAGGTGCAGGAAGTCCAGGTCCTGGGAGGGCTGATTGCGATTCGATCTGCTAACTTTTAGTAGCATCATCTAGTATACGTACATGCAGAGACATCATGCACAGAAGCAGTCCTCAGATTGTAGGGCCTTTTCGTGAAAGGCCAGGAGCACCACACACATAATCAGTTGCAACGGAGCACCCCATCGCAACAACTCTGCTACGACCATGGCCACCCCCGTGGCCCCAGCTAGCTTGGATCTAACTGGTAACAGCCTCGGAGCCCTGCAGGGCACCAAAAGGAAACATCCCAAGACTTCCAAGCATGACTTGATGAGCTCCTTAAGGCAATAAAGTGCACCACACATGCAGAAAGCACTTTCATCCTTTGAAGGATGCCGGGCACTTGCAGCTGGTCTCGGGCACTATCGCAGAAGTCGAATTATCGACCAGAATTTGAACTGCAGAAGTTTGCATGTTGATTAAAGACGCACAGCCTGTAGCCGTAGCCTAAATGAACCGTCGTCGCTTCAGCTCGTTCACCGACAAGCCCTCGAGCCACGAAGCCCTCGCAGAGCTCTGGTTCCATTTTTCACAAGCTTCCTTCCACGAGAAGCCCCGCTCGCGCTTCTTTGCAATGTACCTCAAACGAGCTTCTTTATAGGATCCAGGCACATATGCACAATCCGCCGTCATCGTCCTCTTCATGCGCTGCATGGCCTCGGTTTCCTCGCCCTGTTCTTGGCTCGAGCTGTTCTCCTTTTTTTTCGAAGCTTGCTTATCCTTTTTCTTGGTCTTTTGGTCCTGCTGGGCCTTAGCCTTTGAAGCCTTGGATTTAGCGGGAGCTTTGGCCTTCTTCTTTTTCGTTTTTTTCCTCTTCTTCTCATCCTCTTCAGGCTCCTCGTCGGTTGCTTCACCTGAATCATCTTTTGCCCACCTTGATTGCTGAACACAGTTCAAAAAAAAGCAGGGGCAAGACCAAATCGATCAAATCCAAAATGCACCACGCCACTGTGCACTGGGTAGGAACGGCTTAACGGGCTCCGATTTCGATGCAAGCAGGCTTTCAAGGCTTTCCATAACCTGCAATGCATACACTTGGCAGTCTCACAGCACAACAAGCATCTCCGCTGAAACCAGTACAGGGCAAGAAGCCTTCTCGGGAAGCAACTTTCCCTCGATCTCGGAGTGAACACCCTTCTTGGGCTTCTTGTTCTTCGATGCTTCCTTGGGTTCTGCAGCGGGCTTCGCGGTTGAATCACAATCCTGCTTCAACTTCCTGCTTTGTGCTTGCAGCCTGGCCAAAGCCATCCTCGGATATAGCATTGTACGTATTCAAGCTGACGATAGATTGCTGAGTGCAGGGTGCGAGCAGCACTATTCCGCGACAAGGCTCTGCATCTCACCGCTCAAAGCCGGGATATGGAGAGGCGGGGTCACCGCAGAGCTGTTGGAACTCCCAACCTTGCAGGCTTCAAGCACATGTGACATTTCATGCAAGTGGCGATACAAGGGAATCCCCAAATGCTTCAAGTTGCAGCTGATCCCTCGTCGTCATGCTCAGCCAGAATAGATATAGCAACATCACCATCATCATCTGATTGGCTCTGCTCCTCATCCTCCGACTCTGTATCCTTACACGTGCTGGAACGAAATGTATATTGTGGCATGCAGAGCTTCGTGCATGGGCCAAGTACATAAGAAAAAATATGGAGCCCAGGCACAGCACCGTTCAAGTATCCAGCCAGCTCCTGCTTCATCTCCCGGAGCTGGGCCTGATGCGAACTCCGTGCCCGACGGACAAGGTGCTTGAATTTCGTCACCTCGGCTACAACCGGCAATATTAAAGGAACACATTTCTACCAGCCCAAGTCGAACCCTTGCACTAAATGTTTCAGACAAACTGCCAGCTTCCGGATCGCTTGGCCAGATCTGCAGGCCCAGTTCTGAACGGACGGTGCTGTTATGAGCACCCCTTTCGGCAAGATTCGGTTGGCATTGACAAAATCCAAGATAGCATCACAATATATGTAAGCGCTCTGTCGCTTGCGCGACTTCAGACCCCCTCGCACGGCTGCCGCAATAACCTTAGATGTGGAGCACAAACTTCTGACGATCTGTAGATGTATGCTCCAAGGACAAAATATGTTGAGATGGGGCACTCGCGGGTTGGCGATGACATCTTTGCGTGAAACGGTTTTCCTTTTTGTCAGCAGTTTGCCTGTTGGGTCGACCACCATATTCAAGCCTGCCTCAGAAAGCTGATGCTCAGGCACGGGAACAAGCAAGCAAAACCCAAAGAGTTACATGCGTCTGTGCCCAATTCCTCCAAGCTGCAGCAATCAGGGACGGTTCTCTGCTCAACTCCTTCGAGACTCGTTTAGCCTCGTCACCTGGTTCAAAATGAACCTTCTCAGGAATCAAAGCAGCCATGGCTGGACTATGTTTGGCAAAAAGCGAGCTCCGAATTTGCAATGCCGGACCCCATGAACCCTGCATGCTAGCTCCATGCTGAAAGTCTGCCTGAAATTATCTGGTATCTGACAGCAATCGAAAGAGCACATGCCGAGCTCGAACAAAACAACTGAAGCATCTGCAAGATGCAGAATATGCTCTGCTGCACAACTCAAGCTTCATCGGACCATGCTCGCATGTGGGGGATTGCTGCACTGCATTCGTGAGCACTATGCAAACAACGGCCGCAATCTATTGGCACCTGCATCCTCATCTTCATCACGTGTGACCCTGCAGATCTTCGGCTTGTAGGTCGCTGGGCGAGGCATCCTGCATGCCAGGTACAATCGATGGATTGGCTGGCTAGAGAGCCCGGTCTCTGTTGCAAAACCTTCAACATGGCCATTTCTTCAACTGCACAATACCAGAACCTTTGCAATCTGACCCGTCCTTCATGAAGTTATGGGGGCACCACCACCGCTGGTCCTCAAGACGCAAGCGATGTGACAGCCCAATGCAACCGAAGTCTCGACGGGCGATTTCCATTACCGTGATACTGACACGACCAAGGCCGTCAAATCCCGCAGTCCTGCCGCAACGAAAAGTTTCACCCACTCGGGGTCGAACTTCTCGAGGAAAAGGTCCTGCGCATTTCTTTGGCTGTTTAATTGAGGATAGAAGTACGTTTGCAACACGAAGACTACATCCAATTCGGTCCTGCCCACGAATCATCAAGATTCTCGGCCCCGAGCACCATGAACGAGGCTCGATTGCAGGAAACATGAAATCAGCGAAAACGCATATGATGGCCTGCGTGCCGTTGTAATTAAAATGAACTGCAGTTCCTGGCGCTATAGCACAATCGATCCGACAAGCCATGCCCCGTGCATGGCACAAACATTTTCTCGAACAGCCAGCTGCTTAATCACTGGAGCGTCTGATGCATGAGTGCAACTGATCTCGCATGCTCCTGCATGATCGTGCACCACACGCGATACCTGATTTCCGGAAACCAGAATGTTTTCATATTTTCGGATGATTACGTAATTAGGGAATCAGGAATTAAGGTTTTTTTCTCTCCCCGTCGTTTCGCAGAAAGTCAGTCACGCCTACGCATCTATGAGCAAGATGGGGGGTCGAGACGGCATCATGGGCAAGATCCTAACTTAGCATATCCAAATGCATGGATTAAGCTATGTTCAGCACAGTTCGGTCCTGATCCATCCCGCTCATAACCACCCAAGGCCGTTTTAAGGGACATATCAAACGTACCTTAAAATAAGGGTCATTTGAAAAGCAACACGTCAGCTTTTTTAAGGGTCAAGCCGTCCACAAGGTATCGACCACACCAGGATCTGGACACAGACCTGACGAAGTTTGGCTTCCTAGTCTACGCCGGAACCGTTCGTGACTTTCACGAGTGGGAGTTCCGAGCTATGACGAGATGGAAGCAGACCAAGGTTGAGGATAGATCCGACCTTGCGTCCAAGTTCCTCGACTCCTTAAGGAGCGAGGCATACATTGTCGCAGAGGATTTGGGTACCGACGTTTTGTTCTCGAGTCAAAACATCCCCAAGGTGATCGAGGCAGTTAGAGAACGCCTGTTCCCTCTGGCGGAACAAGAGACGAAAGAACTTTATCGGTTAGGGACCCAAGTCGGCGGCATGTTGTCACGACAGCCGGGAGAGCCGATGATCTCCTACATCGACCGCCGCAAGCGGTGGCTACGCAAGCTTCAGCAATTAGACAAGGCCCTTCACATAAGTGAAGCGGTGCTGACAGATCTGTTGCTGGACAACAGTGGGCTCACCCGGCAAGAGCGACTCATGGTGCTGACCTCGATGGCAGGCAGCACAGCGACGAAGGATGCTGAGACATCGCTGATTCGCATGCATAATCGTATCCACACGTTGGAACGAAAGCAGCCATCCGCCAAAGGCGGAACTGGCAAAGGGAAAGGTTTCCACAGGAAGGGAGACCGAGGAAAAGGTAAAGGATACGGAAAGAGATCCCAGAAAGGGACTGCTTACACGTACCTTTCGGCCGTTGAAGACCGTTTCGAGTACCCTGACGCCGAGGAAGACGACGACGGAACAGCCTACCTGGCAGGCCAAGAGGACCAGGACGGCCAAGACGGTGATGGGCAGGACTGGGCGTATCACGGAGAAGAGCTCCCCGTGTACGACAAGGAAGAGGACACCGCGTGTGTTGCCCAGTCGGCCGACGCTTCCCTAAGGGACGTCGAGCTTGATGTCTTCACCGCCTTTATAGGCGCTGGGTTCGATGAGGAAGACAAAGAGGCTTTGGCGTTTCTCGCAGACACCGTGCAGTGCGAGACCGTTGCCTGTATGGCGCGGGCCAAGGCTAAGGGTAAAGGAAAGTCTGTGATGCAGAGGAGTGCACATGGATATCGGCCGCGATCTACCGGTCTCACTGTTGAAGACAGGAGACGGAAGCTTCATGAGATTAAACTCAGGAGCACGTGCAAAACGTGTGGCAGAAAGGGCCACTGGGCTGGTGACAAGGAATGCCCAGGCCCAGGGAAAGGTGCAGGAAAGCCCGCAGTGGCACACCTTGCCCAGGTCAGGCGTGTGATGGATAAATCCACACAGACCTGCGACTTCATCGCTAGCCCCAGCGAGAGCGACAGCGAGAGTCAAAGCTTTGACCCGGAGCCAACAGCGAACTACGTTAGCTTGGGTCAGGACTCTGAGACGGAGCCTGCGGCGTACATGGGTTTCTTCGACAGGACTGACTTTGAAGAGTCCGACGAAGAGCTCCTGGACGACTTTGCGTCGCAAGGCGCTCCCTCCACGGAATGGGATACCATAGAGTACCCTGACGGCAGCGACCAAGTGTTTCGGTTCGGGATGCATAGGGGTAGCACCTACCTTGAGGTTTTGCAGAACCACCCCGATTACTACCATTGGGGCCTCAAGGAGAAAGAGCCGAGCACCATGCTAGAAGCATGGCTTGTCTGGGTGTATCGCAACTTTGAGGTTCCACCGGTTGGCGGTGGAAGGGCGACACTCAGGGCAGCCACGTTGCCGGTGGAGGCCGACTCGCTGCAGAAGGCTAGGAAGGAGGTGACCCTTGAGAAGGCACCTAAGAGCAAGCTCGGGTTGTTGAAGCCGGATCCCAAAGGACCGTGCGTTGGAGGATGTCCCGCACATGCATTGAACAAAGCAGGGAGCAATGCGCACGTAATCAAGACCACTTGCATGTTGTGCGGTAACAGGACCTCAAACCCGAGACCAAAGGCTGTACCGAAGAAGGACCCACTCACGTGCGAGCACAAGCGCACGGACAACAGGAACAGCACGAGATCGGTACACCGCACCTTTTGTCTTGATTGTTGCACTATAGTAGAGGAAATCCCGCAGAAGCTCTTTAAGGAGCAGAAGGGACTCGCCGAGCAGGTGCAGCAGTCTCCACTCAAGGTGCAGAACCTCACGAGGAGACAGCTGGAGGAGTACAACTTTACGAAGTTTGAGGCAGGTGAGGTGGTAAAGAAGTTCTTCAAGCACATGGACAAGTTTTTGTTGAAAGTTGACCAAGTCAGTTCAACCGAGTTGTCTAGTTGCCTTGAGGATGCGATGGACCAGGTTGTAGAGCAGACGAAGTTACGCATGCAACATGGTAGGGCTGCTGATGTAGCTAGGTCTAGTCAGGACGTAGAGCCCCCACCTTTGCCTGCGTTTTCCCCAGTACGTAGAGAGCGTAGGAGTGCACAGCCTCGTGAGCAAGCTTCGCCCGCCGCCGCAGCAGCAGCTGGCCCGAGAGAGAGAGGAGCAGCTGTTAGGGACGCCATGGCGGCGTCTCCTCCCAGCGGAAAGGGCTGGGGAAGCCGCGAAAAGTTCGCCGGCGTGGCGACGGCGGAGAAGAGTGGTGATCCCGAAGGGGACACCAAGCTGACCCTCACAGCCTTGGTGGGGCAGCTTCAGCGAGATGATCTCGAAGGAGACATCAGCCCGAAGAGCGTGCAGAGCTCAGACAGTGAGCCTGCACCCCTGGACGAGGAGATTGCTGAGCCGCAACTCCAGCTCGTGGATCCCTTAGAGGACCACGAAAACGTCTGGGTGATGCTGGACGAGGGCTGCAACCAGACATGCCACGGGACGAAATGGAGGGCTCACTCCTCAAAGGTCCTGGCAAAGTTTGGGTTGCAGTTCACCAGCGTGCGCTCGAGCGGCACGAGCTTCAAGGGCATTGGAGCGGCCCGAGCGACGGGCAAGTTCGCAATGCCGTTCGCCCTCCGCATCATGCCGGAGAGCGGAGGCCTTCGCCGGAGCACCCGTCTGCAGGGAGAGCTCTCCAGCGTGGAGCTGGACTCTCCGGACGTGCTCTGCCTCCTGTCCTTGCAGGATCAGGTTCAGCTTGGCCTGATCAAGGACCTGAGGCGCGGCGAGTGCCGAATCTCGGGCTACGCCGGGACACTGCAGTTGGCGAGGCACTCGAAGACCGGCCTCCTCCTCCTGTGCGTGAGCCAGTTTGGGGCGAACGTTACAGAGAGGCACAGAAAGTTTGCAGTGAATCCGGAGGTGATCCCTAAGAGGACATCTAAGAAGGAGAAGAACACTTTCTCGATCCCTTTGAGGGACGGGATGGCACGCAAGAAAGAAACCTTGATCCCTTCAGGGGACAAGGACAGCACGGCGTATATGCTGTCCGAGATGGTGAAGGAGACAGAAGGGCAGCGGAAGAACGTTTTGGTGGTCACGTTGGGCTTGGAGAAGCTAGAGACCTGCCAACGTGGGCGCGGCACCTATCGTGGACTCACGGAACTTATCCGTGGTATGCGAAAAGGGCAGTCGCACGAGTTCTCGCTGAACAACGAGGCCCACGAGGACACGCTTCTGGAAAGCCTGCGCCAGAACTTTGAGTCCTTCCGGGACTACGCCACGGAGCAGATCCTTTTTCTGGACTGCCGGCACATGAACGACCCGGGCAAGGACAAGTCCCTCAGGGACCACTTAGGCACGTACCCCAAGAACGTGCAAGCCATGGTTTTGGACCCGAAGACGAGAACGGAAAATGGGTGGCGTTCATGAAGGAGGTCGTGCCGGCCGTGCACAAGCTCATCCAGGAGAACGAGCAGTGCGTGATCTTTATGTTTTGCAAATCGGGAAGACACAGGTCTGTCTCGAATGCAAAGATCATGTACGATCTCATAAAGAAGACGTACGAAGTGGAGGCGAGTCTACTTCACCTTTGCGACGGCTACAACTGGCGATATCTATGCGGTGGTTGCGCGGAGTGCAACTGGGAGTCCAAGGAGGCTCAAAGCACCGCAGAGAAGGTGATGGACTTCGCAAGAGAGCGTTGGTTCGAGTTCGTGCCCAAGGTGTGGGTGCGAAAGAACGACCAGCGCCGCCTAGGCGACGACGGCGTCGTGGTGGAAGAGCCGATCCCTTCGGGGACAGCTCAGGCAGGAGGCGCGGGATCAAGCACTGACCCGCCTGCCGAGCAGGAGGCCGCCCAGGACGAGCAGCAGGACGAGCAGCTCGGCGACACCACTGGGGCAGCTGAGGCCAGTGCCAGCTCGAAGGCACCGGCGCAGCCCTGCACGGTGGACACCCCTGGGGGAGTGTCGGTGCCGGTCCACGACCTGCGGCCCGAGCTGGAAGGACTAGATGACAAGGCCCTTGAGAAGGTAAGTTTTCTTTTTCTTTCTAGGGTTTATAGTGTCTTCAACCCAGCGAAGCTTACTGAAGTCACTACGCTCGTGGCCAAGTACGCGGCGGACCACACCTCGCTCACCTGTGCCGTTGCTGCAAAGTACTTGGAGTACGAGGCGGCGAGGGCACTCCTGTTGTCGCTGGTGGCAGACGTCCGATCCGGAAAGCGGACGGAGAAAGAGTGGGACACAGAGCTGGAGCTGGCTAACCGGAGCCTGGACCAGGCGATCCTTCAGCTGGACGAGGACAAGGCCGCGGCAACAACGGGCACAACCACAGCTGGAAGGACGACCGCTCAGGCGGCGGACCCACCGCAAAGAGAGAGGACCCGATCGGCACAGGCCGACGGGCGAGGAGAGAAAGGAAAAGGTGAGAAGGGTAAGGGAAAAGGCCGAGGAGAAAAGGGACGCTGGCCGAACAACAACCCTCGAGGCCCAAGGACTCATACCGAGTCCAACCCTGCCTCGACTTCTCACGCAGAGACGCGCCACGACCTGGCAAGTCTGGGGGAAAACCCCAACAACCCGGGGGGTCTCTCGCCGGGTTACTTGAGCCAAGTGATCTCAGGACACAAGAGGCACGGTGAAGTTGCCTTCAAAACTTGGTTACAGCCAGGCGTGGGGCACGAAGGCGCACCGGTTCGTGTGTCCTATAGGGCACACGCTGCAAACTCCTGGGATAAAATCCCAACGGAACTGCAGCGCTACCGCAAGCACGTGGCGATCCAATGGACGTCCGATGGGCCCTGGGAGTGGCGCGAAGTGAACGTGGCAGCCCACCAATGGGTCTACTTCGGCGACCGTTGGGACCAACACCCGCGCCACATGCTGGTGTTCTTGGTTCCGCCGCGCGGTGGCAGTGCCTTCTACGTTGGAGGCATGCTTCCGGATCTCATGGCTTCCGACCTGAAAGTGATGAAGAAGGAGACCGGAAAGATGTTTGAGGATTCTTGCAAGAACCTCAACACGCACGACGACCTGCTGATGCAGGCCTTGGGGCTCCCGTCGGTGGCGATCACGGGCGAGCCGCCCACGATCTACGCCCTGGCGAACTCGGAGTTCCAGCCCGGATCCCTTGAGAGGACCGGCGCCAAGGTGATCGTGCGACACCCTGGCTACCGTATGATCCTTCTGGAGGACATCGGTTGGCAGAAGCAAATCTCTAAAGAGATTGCTAAGATCCGTCCCGACCTTCTGCTGTTGGTGTACAGTTTGGAAGACCAGGTAGGTCTCACCCCGCAGGTACAGACCTGGCTCCAGTCCCTCTCCGCGTACACAAAAGAAGTGCTTGTTCTTGACAGTCTAGGCAGTGTTAGGTGGAACCTGTGGTTTGAGAACAGTGTCGAGGGTACTGAGAGAGAGTTTCAGCTGTTTCAGTGTAGGGGTGACCTGTGTGTAGGGACGTTTTCGCAGGCGATAGGTGAAGTCATGTCTAGTTGGGCGAACTGTGACCATGATATACACTATTCACCTGTGAGCATCGACACAGTAGGCACGCAAGTTGGTTTTGCCGAAACCTTGTTGCTTGTGTTGCAAGAGGGCTGTGTAGAGGACCACGTTGCTGAAGCGTTTCCTGTTGAGGCAAGGCAGGATGAGGTCGAGGAATCTGGTACTCTAGATGCTATAGTGGATCCCAGAGATAATAGGACCACTTTCATGGATGATCTGGAACTCGCCGAGGAAGCAGACATCTTAGACACGTTGCCTTTAGCAGGGTTTCCGAAAGAAGAGTCTGAGAGGAGAAAGGCATGGTCTAAGGTACCACGGCGTGTTCGCTTGGGGATCAGGAGGTTGCACACCATGATGAACCACAAGCCTAAGGAGGTGCTAGTGCAGGTACTCCGTGGGGCAGGTGCTTCTGAAGAGTTGGTGAATGCAGCTAAGATCTTCAAGTGTGAGTCTTGCAGGGTTAGCGAAGAGAAGGTTCGCACACACCCTGTGTCAGCTCCACCACCTTACGAGTTCAACCACACAGTTTCGGTGGACGTGCTGGAGACTGCAGACTCAACAGGCGCAAAGTTTAGCTGGCTGAACATTATAGATGTCGGCACAAGCTATCAAGTTGTGACCTTAGTCCGCGTTGGTGGCGGACAGCCGAGCTCAGCCAAGTGCCTGCAGAAGTTCATGCAGCACTGGGTTTCCCCTTTTGGGTGGCCAAAAGTGGTTTCCCACGACCGTGGCCTACACAACCGGGGCGCTTTCGCTCACGGCTTGGGTAGCCATGGAGTCCAGATCCGCCAAGCCGGACTGGAATCGCCAGAGCACATAGGGAAGTGCGAAAGGCATGGAGGCATCATAAAGCGAGCCTTTAAGCGTTTGGTCAAGGACCACAACGTTGTGGGCAAAGATGATGTCAAGGTGGCGATGCTCGAGGCACAGGTCGCAAAGAACGAGTTCATGCGTGTTGGAGGCTTCAGCCCCACCCAGTGGGTGCTTGGACGCCTGCCCAGAGGAGTGGGCCACGTTTTGGACGAGGAAGAGCTAGGACAGCTTGGAGTCTTGTCGGGCAGGTTAGATGCCACGACTGCGTTCGGCCGTCAGGCCGAATTCCGCCATACTGCAAGAAAGGCGTTCGTCCATGAGGATTGCAGTCGCAGGGTGCGAAAGACCGTGTTGCGCAAGGCGGCTCCCCTGCCGGGGAAATATCAAGCTGGCGACCTAGTTTGCTATAGGATCGCGCGAGATGAGCATTCAGGCGTGAGTACGTGGTCAACTGTTAGTAAAATAATTGGCTTCGATAACAAAACGGTCTGGGTGGTGCATCAGGGCGTGCCTGTGGCGACCAGCTTGGCGCGACTCAGACCGTGTACATCGGCTGAGGTTTTGGCGTTCCAAGTGTTGAACCGTGGCAACATACAGTACGAGCACGCGGAGGTTGAACGCGAGCAGCAAAGGTACATTGATGCCACCGGGGATGATCTATTGCTAGACGACCCAGAAGAGCCACCGGACGGAGGAATTGGGATAGGTACTCCGATCCAAATGGATGCCGAAGCAGATCCTCCGGAGACTGCGGCCGCTGCTCCAGAAAGAGCTGTTCGAAGGAGAGTTGGAGCAACACGTGAAGAGTCACGGGCCGTGACTGTGGAGGAGCCGGAGAACGAACAGGTGGACCCTCCAGGAGGGATCCAAGAGCCGATGGCTGAGGACACGGCGGTCGACGCCGATGGCGAGGCAGAGGCCACGGAAGGTAGCTCAGCGCTCCTTTTGAGGGCTTACGCTAGCCACTTCTGGACGAAAGAGGAAAGAACCGTTTGGAACTCACTCCCCGGGGAGAAGGAGTACGAGGCCTTACGGGTTTTCTTCGCAGACCGCGTCGAGGACGACAAGAAGGTGACGCAGTGGCGCAAGCGCCGCAAGAACTTTACGTCCAAGAAGCAGAAGGAGAAGCACGGGAAGATCCTAATGTACCACAAATGCCCTGAGGATGTCCAGAAGGAGTTGGACAAGAGTAGAGCAAAGGAGTGGGCAAAGTGGCAGGACTTCAGTGCTGCGATCATTCTTGATGACGCTCAGTATGATGAGTTGATCCGTGAAGGACATCAAGTCATACCTACCCAATGGGTAGAGCTGGACAAGAACCACAACAAGAGGTTACTTGATCCTACCGTGGAGGCCAACTACAAGAGTAGATTGGTTGTTCGGGGTGATCTTGAGAAGGGTGATCCTAGGAGTGATAGCCCTACTGCTAGCATAGAAGCTCAGAACTTAGTGTTTTCGTTCGCTTCTTCTAGGAAGGTCAAGATTAAGTCCCTGGACGTGACCAACGCCTACTTTCAAGGCGAAGAGATAGATAGAGTACTTCTACTATCTCAGCCCAAGGGAGGACTCCCTGGGCTCAGGCCCCACCAGCACATGCTGGCGAGAGCACCCATCTACGGCAGCACCGATGGAGGTAGACGGTTTTGGAAGCGGCTTAGGAATTATGTTAAACATTCTGCCAGGAACAGTAACACAGCTAGTGCAGTACAGTTAATGTACAGGAACAGCCGTCACGCACACGCGACGTGCAGGCTCGAGACCCCAGGACACACCGTGCCCAGGAACAAAAGTGTCCGACAGTCTTTGTGGGTAGGAACCCTTAGTGAAGCCCGTTCTTTAACATGGTAGCGGAGCTGCCTCCAGGAACCTCCTTGGCAGCGATGATGCTACTCGTAGCCATAGGAACCATGATGCTCGGCGCCATGGCAGTTTGCCTCGTTGCCGGATGGAAGCAGATGCGCGCAAATGAGCAGATCACCAAGAAGACGGAGACAGTGCTCAACATGCCCACGCTCAGGATCGCAGTCCGTTCAGGAACAAAGTACCACCGCAGAGGTTGTGGACACCTTCGCAACCACAACGTGACAGCAGGAAACGCGCGAGACTTTGACGCTTGCAGCGATTGCTACCCCGACCGAGTGTTGGTGGAAGAGAGAGAGAAAAGGAACATGAAGTGCTACGGTTTGGCAGCATGTATGGTGCTGCTGGTTGGTTTCGCACTGGGAAGCCTCGCAACTTTGTGCGGGATGACCTTGGTCCCAGGAGCAGGAAGTATGGCGGTGAGACCGTGGCAGGCCCTTGGCAACAACGTGGAGACCAAGGAAGAACTTGCCCTTGGAGACGCCTTACCCTCCAAGGATGCGAGCCGTGGGAGAAAGGAACTCACTTACGTGGAGAGCGATGAGAGCGAGCTCATGGCAGTGTGGTCGAGCAGAAGGAAGCCCAATACGCACCGGAACCGCTACAGGAACTACGACGTGTACGGCGAGTACTACCAGCAAGGCTACAACGAGTGCAGCGTGAACCCCGACGGCACCAACGTGAACACGATCAGGAACACGAACGCGTACACGATTAAGGACTATGTGGAGATAGGAAAAGTCATGGTACCGTACGCTTTGTTGTGCATGAACCAAGTGATGAACGAGCTCTACAGCGTCGTTAGCGTGACCGGCGAGTACTACACGGAAGAGAACAGGAACGGCAACCAGAACACCGAGAACCAGGAGAGTGAGAGCCTTGAGTCAGGCTACGCCCCTAGGTACCTAGTAAAACAACAGCGAGAAGTACTGAGGAAATTTGTACAGGAACATGTTCACAGTTTCGTAGAAAAGCTAGCAACTGTAGGAAAGAAGTTTCACGACGTCGTGCATGTGATAGTTCAGGAAGTCATTTCCAACAGAGTTGTATTTCAAGGAATTCGCATAGCAGTGTTCTTAGGAACCCCAATGGGACTGATTACTTGGATCACCCTGTCGTACTATTCTAGTGTGTTTTTCGCAAGAGCAAGCAACCGCTCAAAGCACCAAAGGAAGACAAGAGGAGAAAGGAGAGCACAAGCAGTGTGCAGGAAACAGTGCAAGTCGCTACTTTTAGCAGCACTAGTGTACAGCAACCTTGAAACAGCAAAAGGAATGGAGGATGCATTGAAGGCACTTGCCGAGATCAATGCACAGACCTTACAAGGAATACAAACACTAGCAGAGGAGATCAGGAACTCAGCAGCTTCAGGAAGTCAAAGAGAAGCAGGACTTACACAAGCATTCCAGGAAACCCTGACAGCAGTTCAGGAACAGCAGAAGACAGCGCAAACAGCGTTGGCAGACGCCCACACGAATGCAGCAACGACACTTGAGGAGATAGGAGCATCTCTGGAGAAAGCAGTAAAGGAACAAAGAAAGCCTGGAGAAGTGGAGTTGCACAAGCTGATTAAAAGCCCCGAAGCATTTTCCCCAGGAACATGGCAAGAAGAGAAGAGTGGATGGACAGAGTTCAGGAACAGGATGCGGATCTGGCTTGGAGCAGTGGATTCCAACATGGTGAAGATCATGGACATCGCCGAAAGGAACCTAAAAGATGATAAGCAAGTGAAGATGGCTGAGATGTCTGCAGAAGCAAAGGAAACAAGCAGACGCCTGTACAGTGTTCTTTGTTCATACACTAAAGGAAGGCCGTACCGAGTTGTAAAGCATGTAGCTGAGGAGAACGGTATGGAAGCTTACCGTATGCTACTCAAGGAATATCAACCAACGAATCGTGCGAGATCGTTGGAGTTGTTTCACAACATTCTCAACTACAAATTTGCTCACAACAAAGGAATTGCTGAGAATATCCTCGAATATGAGGAACACATCGAGAAGTACGAGAAGGCTACTGGAGAAAAGGTACAAGAGAATTTGAAAGTATCTACTCTTATCCAAGGTATGAAACCTGACGTGAAAAGGCACTTGTTGCTCAACATGGATGAGAAGACACAGTACAATACTCTTCGTCAGTACCTTGTGAACTATGAGTCAACCGAGCGTTGGACTAACTCTTTGGCAGCCCAGCAAGGAACACCTCACCGAACCACAACAGACTTGATCGACAAAGGTGATGACCATGGTGGTCTTGCAGCAATGGATATCAACCAAGCATGGTACAAAGGAAAGAAAGGCTATGGCAAAGGTTATGTTCACCATAAAGGCAAAGGTAAAGGAAAAGGCAAGAAAGGTGGAAAGGACTTTGGAAAAGGTTACGGCTTTGACAGCAAAGGCAAAGGTAAAGGTAAAGGTTTCGGAGGTTTTGGCAAAGGCAGAGGTCGAGGCAACTGGAAAGGCCGAGGTAGAGGTTTCAGAGGTTACAAAGGAAAAGGCAAAGGTCGAGGAAGAGGTTTCTTCAGACACAAAGGAAAAGGTAAAGGCAAAGCCCAAGCAGCTACAGGAGTGTGTCACTACTGTCATAAGTATGGACATTTCGAAGCACAGTGCAGACAGAAGATGCGTGACATGGGTTATCAGGCCAGGAACGTTGACCTTGAAAACCAGAGCGAGCAAGCGAGCACTACAGGTACTTCTACTCAGGCCCCTTCGTCAGCCAACAAGACCTCAACAAGCCAAAGCCAAGCAAGCCAAGGAACCCAAAGACCAGTGATTAGGATGGTCTCCATGTACCACATGGGAGACGAGCCCACAAGCTTTCCGGAGGAATTCGAGATGAGTGAGAACTCTGAAGAGATAGAGATTGAGTACTTCGGAAGAGTTTTGCGGGTTGTTGGTGAAGAAGTTCAGGAAGAGAGGAGTGAGACAGAAGAGTTTTGGATTGGTGATGAAGATGATGAGTTTCAGGACTGTGATGAGGTGAGTGATGATGCATGGTTGCAATGGCATCTAGCAGGAACTCCGATAGGAACTCAGGATCGTGGATACTACTTTGAGTGTCCCAATGGATGTCATGAAACACCGTGGCACCCAAACATGCAGGAATGTGAGAACGGATGTCACCATCCTCCTAGAAGGAACAGAGTAGAGAGAACAGCACCCTCAAGGACCATCACCAGGTTTGCGCGTGCAGCAAGGAACGCGAGAAGTCGAGAGATCGAGGTCGTGCTGGATTCAGGAGCCGACATTTCGTTGGCACCGATGTGGATGAAGAAGTATGGAAGAAAGGCACCCAACACTACCAAGGTAGTTTTGCGAGATGCACAAGGATCTCGGATCAAGGTTTCAGACCAAAGGATCATTGAGGTTGAGTTTCGGGATGTTCAAGGAAACATTGTGAAGGTTGAAGAAGTGTTCTTGATTTCATCGGTTGTGCACCCTCTTTTGGCAGTAGGTAAACTGTTGAAGAAAGGCTGGGAGTTCAGAGATGGAACAGCAACAGGCACTTTCCTAACAGAAGGAACAACCAAGATCGCAGTGAACTACAACAACAACTCACTTACAACAAAAGCCTTTGTGAGAGCAGTCAACTGGGAAGCAGAAGCAAAACCTATCCCTATGTACTTGTGCGAGAACTTGAAGGAACTCATTGAAGAACAGCGTGTTGGTTGGACCAACTGGCGAGACCCTTACCAAGTCCACTTCAGCCTAGGAACCTCAGAACACGTTGATACTTACTTGATGTTTCCACCAGGAAAGTTCGCATATCGAGCAGTGCTTATTGAGGATGATGATCAGTGGTATTTGTTGCATCACAGCATCATGTTTGAGGAACTTGAGGAACCGTTTGGAACAATCTTCGATGGCAGCAAGGAGTACCGCACGCTTACGCTAGTATCGCTCAAGGAATTTCCGCTGAACCTCATAGGCACCCCCAAGGAAGATGAGGATCGAAAGATGTTTGAAGAGTACACTGAGGATGCATGGTCAATCAGCATGGATGGCACTACACTCACGAGGTACCACAACTCGTTGAGGAAGACTTTGTTCAATCCTCGAGATACCAATGACATTCCAGTAGACATTGGAAACCTCAAACCAGACAGGTACACGTATGGAGAAGAACCGATCAACAAGGATTTCTTTGAGGATGACAAGTTCTGGACTTTGGATGAGCCTCACAGAGACCCAGAACCACTAGGAGGTTTATCCTGGACAGGACGGAGTGTATTCGAACTCATTGAACCAGTGAACCCCAAGGCCAGAAGACCAAAACAGAAGGTTCACCAACTGGACACGATTCCAGAACAGGAAGAAGAACAGGAAGAGACCTCAGAGGCCCAAGCACCAGCACACAGGCATGAACTTGCAGGAGAATTGTCTTTTACATTCAACGGTCATGAGTACAACCAGCAGAACAGCCTCAAGGCCCTGAGAGAGTTGTGCAAGGAACTAGGAGTCTCAAAAGCTGGCTCTAAGCAAGAGATTCTCAGAAGGCTCAGTAGATCCATTATGGAAGCAGAAAGGCATATGGAACTTGTTTCAGGCCAGAAGAAGTACAAAGAGTTTCTAGAAGCTGAACCTCTGAAGGTACCCAAACAGCCAAAGCCGGAGGAAGTTGCAGTGCATAATCTCACACACTTACCTTATGCATCGTGGTGTCCGACGTGTGTAGCA